CTTTTTTCCTGCATCTAACCTTCGCATACTTCAATGCAGAAGAGAATAATTATGAAGTTTGTTTATAATACTAGTAAATACAAAGGTTTTAATGTCACTTTTCTCCCCCATTAGTTTGCAGTTAACACTGACAAATGGATATGCCCAGTCTCTGAGGCCCAAAAAGCCCCTTAGATATATTTATGATATTGTTTGACTTCGAAAATGTCAGCATGGGAGATGAGTAATGCCCCAGGTGATTATGTTAAAAAAAGAAAGCTACCTAATCTTTTTGGTATCTGTGCTTTTCTACCCCAAGGAACAGTAATACAACTTTCTGACATTTCTAGTCTATACCAAGAGTGGCATTTTCACAGTCATCATCAAATCACCCTTTAACACTGACATCTTGCTGTCTCTTGTTTTGTTTTAAGACTTTTCTTTCTGAAACAAGGACTTATGAAAAATAATAATGCCAGTAGCTCTTCAAAAGAAAGTGCTTCCTCATGTATCATATCATTTTATCCTCCTATCATAAGAGATGAGAATAAGTACTGTTTATCTTCATTTGAACAAAATCTAAGTTGTAAAGAAATTGTGACTTGCCCCAGGTCTTCTTAGGCAGCTAGCCCAACCAGATGTTCATCTCCCAAAAGAATACATTTTTTAGCAAAATACCTTGTGAGAAGACCACAGTCACCAAGTGTGTGTGTGTGTGTGTGTGTGTGTAGAGAAAGACAAAGAAAGAAATTAGTATTTGAGTTCCTAATTGATTCTAGTCAACGTGCTGGACGTTTTCACATTAAACCTCATTTATTCTTCCCAACAACTTTAGGAGGTAAGTGATGGTGCTCTCTCTTTTACAAAAGAGGAAAGGAAGGGTCTGAATGTGTAGCCTTATGTTGGGCGATAAGGAAATGGTAAGACTTGGAGCTCTGCCCTTCTTGTATTTCTCAGCCTAGTTCAGGAAGTATTAGAAAGACACATTTAGCCTTATCTGTCCAAAAGGATAGTGAAGTTAGGGAAGACTGAGATGGAGAGAGCTGCTTATAGTGGGGGAGACTTGTGTTGAGTCTGCAGGGAGGACAAGAAGGGGTAAGTGGAAGGGAGAGCCTAACACCCCATATGCACTGAAGAGCAAAGCAGAGGAGAAACCATGAGTGAGCCTAAAGATTGTTCAGCCAGAGCAGATGGGGCCTGCTAGGGAGAGAGTGACATGCACTGTGATGGCTTGTGCTCTGGCTACCACAGGCCTTGAATATGTGTGAGAATCAGACCACAGGATTCTAAAGCTGAAATTCATTTGGTTCAAGCATCCTCTCTTACAGCAGGGAAGCCAAGATCTGTAGAGGTGGAATGACTTGCTTATGGTCATTACCATGTAATTACAGAACTGGGGAAGAAGCAGATAGTCTTGTTTTCAATACGAAGTTATTTCTCCCCTACACTGAACTTGAAGCTCTTGGTGGAGAGGAGTATTGAAATGACATTGTTGATATCTCTGTTCATTCTAAAAAAAAAAATTATTATTTGCTGTACTGGTGTCCTTTTAGTTTCTTGAACATGCCTAGCTCTTTCTAGCCTGAGAATCTTGCACAGTTCTTTTCTCTGTCTGAAATACCCAATTTGCTGCTTCTGGATTGGCTGCTCAGCTCATCCTTCAGGTTAGTATTAATGTCATCACTGAGACGCTGTCTCCGACCGCATTACCTCAGTACAGTAGGGCCCTCCCTTCACTTCCATCTTCTGTCCTTGTTCCTTCTTTGGTTTCATACAACACTGACAAGCTGTGTGCTTTGTGATACACTTGTTTATTACTCCTCTCCAACTGGACAGGAAGTGCCACAGTGGGATGGATGTTGTATATCCAGTATTTGTTGCAGTGGTCAGGATAGTAGTTAGTTGCTCAGGAAGATGACAAACTTAAGTGAGGCTGATATGGAAAATCACATTTTGCAATCAAACTGTCCTTTCCACATGATTCATGCCTTTATACACTGAACCTGTAAACAACCTTAAGGTTAAACAGAATGTTGCAATAGGGAACTTAAATAGCTAACAGACATTTACAAGGCAGCAGGAAGTTCAAGTTTGTGGTTCAGATAGTCATTGCTTTTCTGCCTTTTCCATATTCATCTAGGCATGGGAAGCACAGGTAAGGATGGTCTTGCCCTGTTTTCTGGGCTCAGTTTTGGAAATACTCAAAATACTGTTTAGTGGGAAGTATAGTCTGTTTGGTGAGACAACTATCTGACTTTCTTATGTATCAAAGTTCCTTCAACTGAGCTGAAAGCTTCTGGGGGAGAGTTTTCATTGTGTCTAGTGCAGTGAGGAGGAATGGAAAGGACTTTGAAGCAGAATTTGGCTTGGATTTTTCTTTTAGTCCTGATTACTTTGTAAAAACAAACAGAGCCCCCCAAATAATCCTGAGCCTCAGTTTTCCCAGCTACAAAACAAGAGCATTGGATAAGATGGCTTCTTTGGTTCCACCCAGTTTTAACTATCCTGAAATCTGGTTTCTGTGGACTCTGATCCAGAGGCAATCATAGGAACTGCAGCCTTTAAGGAAGCAGATCCTTTTCTCAGCCATTTTTAAGGAAAAAAAGGGAGTAGTCTGTCTCATTGTAGGAATGACACATTCTGTGGAGATTCAGAACCTTCAAGTTAACCTCTGTTTGACTGCCTTTGTCTGACTTTTCGAAATTGTCCAAGGAAAAATATTTTTTTGTTTAATGGTTAGGGGTTTTATTAACTTTTACCTCACCCTAGTAGGAATTAAAAAAATGTGACTCAACTGTGAATAAGTGCCTCCTTCTTAGAAGGCACACCAAAAAGAATCTTATTCACTCTATTATTATTTTTTTATCCTTACCTGAGGACACACTTAGAGAGACAGAGAGAGAGAAACACCAATCTGCTGCTTTCAGTAGGTGCCCTACTCGGAGATCGAACCGGCAGCGGAGGCATGTGACCTGACTAGGAATCGAACCATTCTTTCAGTGCATGGGATGATGTTCCAACCAACTGAGCCTCTATGGTCGGGAGAATCTTGTTCACTTTAATGCAAGCGAGAACAGCTCCCTCTGTCATTTGGAGGTCTACCCTTTACTGAAAAGAGGCTATCAGAGAGAAAGGCAGCTTTCCTCTATCTACTCACAAGTACTACAAAGCTGAGTCAGGAAGATTCTAAGCAAAGGCATGGTTTTAATATGAAAGTTTTCATTCAGATGGTAACGTAACAGCTTGCATTTTTATTAATTATCCTTACTGTGGACTGGCCTTTACACTAAATGTTTATTTCACTTGTTTCCCGAACATCCTTTGGGTTGGGTGGTAGTTTCTCATTGTTATTCCAGGCGAAGAAACTGAGGTACTTAGAGGTTAAGTAACTTGCTAAATTAAGTCTTAGTTAGCAAGTGATTGAGTTGGGACTTGAACCAAGTAAATGAGTAATGAATCTTTCTTTGAGCCTATGAGGTAGCTAAAAGCATTTTCAGCATTTTTAATGTTAGTGAAAAGATAATAGGAAAATTAATGACACTCAACTCACCAACCAAGCTGTGTTTGTTCTCTGTCCTTTTCCTAGAGCTCCTGGGTCTTTTCTTCTCATTCAGTCCTATCACTATCCTTTCCTTCTAGGATGCTTCACTGTAAACACCGTGGATGTGAAATCAAACCCTGAATTAAAATAAATCATATTTTATAAAACCACATAAGAGTATTTCATAAGTGTGACCTTATTTGTAACTTAGAATCATCCTGACCTGTTGCTTTAAATATTTTAATAATGCAGATTTTTCTCCTCCCCAATGAGGCCCATGTTTCCCCCCAATCACTTTAATTATGTGAGCTAGAATCCTGTTTCTCACACATCTTCAGTTCTCAACCTTGTTAAAATTAATCATATAATCCCCTTTTAAAACATAGTATTAAATCACCATAGTAACACAGTATCCAAGCTTTATAGATAAAACATAACAGCCATAAGAGGGTAGCATTTGGTGTCCCCTTGACAGCTCTATAACTTTTATAGAAATGTGTTCCTTCTCCTGGCTGTGTAAGGTGGAGGGATAGCATTACTTACACCTGTTTTATTACCAAGTTGCTTTTAAATTGCCACCTTGTTTTCGTTCACCTTCCTAGCTAAAAAAGGAGAGGGGAGCATTTTCTTCCTGAATTATTTTCTTATACTCTCTAACCACTTTCCAAGGGACAGGATTGTTTCCTTACATATGACCACCAGTTAGGGTCCACTGATCTTTTGTGCTAAGACACCTTGAAAACTTCTTTAATTTTCTTATGCAGCTTATATGAGGGAATTTTCAAAAGGAAAGCTATGGTATCTATATTTAAAAACTTAATTTATATTGTATCCTAAGACTCAAAAAGTCTGTCTTTGGAAAAGGCCTGGTGAACCATGTCTTTTTTATTCCATTGACAGTTTAAAAAGTAAATTATAGCTGAGAGCATCTACTTGAATATATGATCAATTTGGATATATTTTGTAAAACGTAACATGTAAACTAAGAGTTAATGAGTTCCTTTGAAAATTTTAATCTCAAATTCTAAAATACCATATTAGCACAAATTTATGTATTAGAATTTGGAATATTTAAATTTTTAAGGAGGAATCCAAGCTAACTGGTAAACTTATTTTTCGAAGTGGATTTTAAAACATTTTGTTTCCTCGTGTACCATGTGAGGTTAACGGAAAGCACCTTTCGGATTTGATGGGATGATTAACAGTGCTACCTGCCTGCACTCAGTAAGTAGGAGAAGCTATGGCGGTAGCTCCGATGAGGTAGGTGGTCACCAGAATGTGCTGCTTGCTGCCCCCCCCCCCCTTTTTTTTTTTTACTAGCTCACAATCTGTTCCTTGAAGTGTGTAAATTTTCAGTTCATTTATAAAGAGTTCCACTGAGAGAGGAAATGTTACAGGTTCAACGACTTGTCATGATTAGATACTTTATCAAGAAACTTACTGCACATTCATTTTCCCCTTTGTTCTGTCTTTGCCGCAGCCTCACAGTTAGCCAAGTTGGCCAGAACTTCACGTTCGTGCTCACTGACATTGACAGCAAACAGAGATTCGGATTCTGCCGCTTATCTTCAGGAGCTAAGAGCTGCTTCTGTATCTTAAGGTAAGGGAGAGGGGCTTTGGCTATTGGCTAGTTCTGCGAAACAATGTCAGCTCTTGAGTTGTTATTCTGTAATTAAATTTTCCAGCTGTTCTTTTTATTTTCCTATCTGTTTCCCACAAGTCACTGCACTTGGGGGGAAGGACTTGACAGTGTTGTCCTTGCACTTTAATTTCTGCAGATAATTGTATTTATTTATTTGTCTCACATCCCTGGGGTGGGAAAGGGACCATCGCTTCTGAGGAGTACGTGGAAGCCGCAGAGCCAGCATGGCTTCAGTTCCCCCTGCTGTTATCTGGAGCTGTCAGAAGTCAGCCTGTGAGGCTTTCCCTTGGACATTTTGTGTATGTAAGATTATTAATAAAGTATGTGTCTGTGACTCAGACGTCTCGCAGACACTGATTGTGTCCTCCTCAAAGTAACACCCTTGCCCCCGTGGGGTCATTGAGTGAGTGAGACTGTTTCCCAACTAGGCTACTTCTAGAGAGGTTTGAAAAAAGGGCCAGATCCTCTAAGAAGGCTTCTTTAGGTCTTCTAAACCCCTTCAACCACCAGGGCCACACTTGCTTAATGCTGTTTCCTCCTGCGGAGTGGTAAGCGTGTTCTGTGGTGGGAGGGTGTGTGGAAATCTGATTTTGGAGCTGCTGGCTCTGTGGGCTCCTGCTGGGCGCCTCCTGAGGGGGAAGTTAAGGCATCCACACACTCTCCTCTCCATCTGCCTTCGTTAAGTAGGTGTCAGAGGGGCCTGCCTCCTGTCTCTCTCTGCTCATGTGTAGCAGCCCAGGGCAGGACAGCGGGGAGGCGCCCCTGACAAAACCCGGGTCCCCAGTCTTGGGGATAAAAGGCCAGACCCTCTATGAATTCCAGAAAGAGTAGTTCTCTGGTATATTTGTCTCTGCACTTTCTTCTTCCTCTCACCAAGCAAAGACAACCCCCCTCGCCTCTCCCCTCAAGCCCACACACCCTCTCACCACGTGTGTTGGAGGGGTGGAACGGGAAGGGGAGCTGACTTTTCGAGTCCCTTTGCTCAATTACTGTCGGTACAGACTGCTACTTTTGTGTTTCTCTACACAAGTTTTATTATTTTTTTTAATCAGCAAAATTAACTATCTTCTTCACCAAGGATAGCATCTGTAATCGGGTTATTAGAGGAAAGACCTTAGGAAGGAAGTACAATCCAGCTACTTTGTGAGATTACATGTGAACAGCTGTTCTCAAGCATGCCTCAGTAGCCCAGAGTATTAGATTCTGATGTAAATGATTATTTACTTTTTGACTTAATAATGTTGGTCTTTTTCTTTTTAAAGAAAAATTTCACTTTCGTTATTATCTAATGTTAGATTTGGCCTTGGCCAGGAAACTGCATATTATGTGGTCATTTGAGGATATGAGGGTTTAAAGCAAGTTCTTGAAGTTTTGCAGAAATATTCCCTCCCTCCTCCCCAATATTTTGAGTCATGATGTTTCTTCCTTTCAGTGCTGTGTGTGTGTGTGTGTGTGTGTGTGTGTGTGTGTGTTGGGAAGTGGGGAGATGACTCTGAACTGGCACTACCACATTTACTCAGCAAATTCCTGGGAGTGGAAAACTATGTACCGTATTTTCCGGCGTATATTTAAAAATTAAAATGAAAAAAATTGCTCTCCTCTGATTCTAGTGTTTGATTTTGTGTGTCTGTGTGGAGGTTTATGGACTTTGTGCTTGTGAGAAACTCACTGAATAGCCTTCACGCTGTCATCATTTTGAATGAAAAATAGCAACAGTTAATGTGTTTTCTGTTTGTTATACTAGCTTGGAACTATGGGGAAAAATTTTGGTGGTTTAAATCATTCATTTGTTACTACTATTAGCTCCTGCCCATGAGAAGTTCTCAGTACTCGCTGGGGAGATCGATGATCGATTACCACAGTATGCTATATAAAATGCATAGAATGATCCCACGGTGTAGCATCTTCTTACTATGGATATTCTAATGCCAGGGAATAGTGACTGTGGTGATAAAGAGTACTGTAGGAATTCTGAGATATCATTTCATGGATATTTAACATGGGTTGGGGTGGAAGTCTCACTTTATCTCATCCAGCTTGTGCACATATATAAAGGGCACACAAAGTTGCACTTCCCCTGTGTTTGGTTTGGGAATATTGCTGGGGTGAGATGTGAATGGAAGAGTCTCCTGTTAATCCCAGATGACTGGTTGGTAACACGTCCAGTGGAGACTGGAGAGGTCTGCCAAGAAAACATGAGCACTATTTGGGTCTGGTTTACATTATTAGCATTGTCCTCATTTACTGCTTGGTCTCCTTGCCTTTTTTAGGTACTTTTCCTTCAGTTAACCTGTGCCTTGAGGTCCAGTCACCATTCTTGGCGTGCGCAATGCTCTAGCTTAAGTCTGCTCATAAGCCACTCTATCTTGCTGCTTTCCATTTTTTTCTCATGAGGGATGTAGCTCCTAGTGATGGCATCTGTACATTTATAGCCTCCACTAATCCTAGCCCCTTAGGATCCCTTCCTCCCTGACTGCTCTCCTGGTATGTAGGAACCACTGGGTCTTTCTGCCTTTATGCATTTACCTATTCTCCCAGACTCCGCAGCACTCCAAGCAGCCTTCTCTAGGCGGAGGTAGCCATCCCTTCCTCAGAGAGCACCCAGATGCTGTGCATACTTCAATTTTACACTCATAAACCTCGGTCATCCTTCGTCCTTCTCCTACTGGATAGTTAACTCTTCAGGGATAAAGACTGTGTGTTAAGCATCTTTGTATCTCCAGCCCTTAATATAATGCTTGATCAAAATAATGTATGCATGGCTTTCAGAGCCTGGGAGATGCATACCATTTGAATGGAAGAGCAGGGCACTGAAATTAGAGGATGGACCTCATGAGACACTAGTTTAAAGAGAAAATTTGAAAAATAGTTAATCGCAGAAGCATGATTCATATTATAAAACTTATTTCATATTAGTTGTAAAAAGTAAACCGTTTTTCACAGTGTCAATCCAGTGTTAAGTGACAGGACTTGTATCCACAAAGGACTAGACCATCAGTATTACAAATGTAAACTTAATTTTATAATGAAAAATGTTTTTTATTTTAATCCTCACCTGCAGATATGTTTATCAATTAGAGAAAAAGAGAAAGGGAGATAGAGGGTGAAACATTGATGTGAGAGAGAAACATGTATCGGTTGCCTCCTATATGCTCCCTGACCGAGAATCAAACTCTCATCCTAGGTATGTGCCATGACGAAGAATCGAATTCTTAAACTTTTGGTGTACAGGACAACAATCCAACCAACTGAGTCACCTGATCAGGGCTATAATAAAACTCTTTATATATTAACTTATTAGATTCATTGTTAGGGGCATTGTCTATTCCTCCCACTAGAATTTAAGTTCTGTGAAGGCTGAGAATTTTTATCTGTTTTGTTCACAGATAAAAGTGTATTAAAAAGTGTAGTTGTACTAGAGCACATGTGTCAAACACAAGGCCTGCGGGCCAAATCCATCCCGCCAGGCCTTGCAATGTGGCCCGCACCGCACTGTCATCACTGCACTCCGCTGCGTTTCCATCACAATGACAGTTTATGACTGTTCAGTAAACCATTCGGCCCGCGATTTAGGCTGGATTTTAGATTTTGGCCCCATCTCTGATTGAGTTCGACACCCCTATACTAGAGTATAAGCAAGTCTCATTAACCCAAATACATGGTACATAAAGTCAAATGAATATTTTCTCCAATGGTTAACTAGTTTCTTTCTATTAAAGTATTTTAATTTTCCTTGAGATTCATCATAATATTATTTAACTAGTTGCTGGATGGCACTCAATATTATATTAAAAACACCAGCTAGGAGAACAATAGTTATGGTTTAAGTTAGTTGTTCTTCATTATAAACCCCGGAATGTGATAGAGTATTTTAGTATTTCCAGATAGCACTATCTGTATCTGATGTAGTATAAGCATTACCTCTGATATCTTTCAAATATAAAACAAAGTGACTTAGAACCAAAATTTTTTGTGGCTTCTGGTTTGCCTAAATGACACATACCAATCAAGAGCATAAGAGTTCAAAGCCATAACCATGTTGTTTTGAGGTGGTGGTGGTGGTGGTGGTGGTGGTGGTGGTGGTTGGATTATGGAAGATATTTCATGTAATGATAATATGTCTTTACTCTTTATAAATGAACTTAAATATTTGTGTTATGCATTTTTTTCTCTTTTGTATACAGATCTTATTTAAGCTCTTGAGAAAGTTTGAATAACTGTCTTTATGCCCAAATAAAACTGTTCAGAAACTATTATAGAATACATTTTTGGAAGATATGACTTGTTTCATAAAGACAGTATCTCAAAATTTTGTTTAACATTTAAATTTAGTAAGTATTTTAGTACTTAGTCTATATCAGGAATGAGCAATGCATAACACCTGTCTTTAGCATTTATTTACCTCAAGGTGCCTTCAAATAGACATAAAGATCTAGCCCTAGTTCCTTATATGATGAGAACCTTTCAGATGTCATGTTCATCCAAGACTTTAATGAGCTGAACTTTCTGAACTTGGTTTTACAAGCTGAAAACAATATATAAATTTTGTCCTTTACCAAATTTAACATTGAATAGGCTTCTAGGTACACTGTTCCCAGGCAACCTATGATTTTGATAACCACCTCCCATTTCACTTCCACCCTTACTGTCTTAGGAGCTACCCAATCTTTGGGAAGGGCTTATGTAAATAATTAATTAAAATATTATGTGATAAGTGCTATTTGAAAGAAAAATGTATGTGCAAGGCTCTGGGGGGGGGGGGGGGGGTGTCACAGATTAGGGAGGGCCCACCTGTGGCTTGGAGGGTCAGGGAAAGTGTTGCTGATGTTTCCAGTTAAACTGGGTCTTATAGAACCAGTGGGGGTTTGCCTGAAGGAGAAATGGTGTGCACAGGCCCAGAGAAATGGAAGGAAGAGCAAGATGAAAGAATGATGAGACTATGATGAGAGGACAGTAGC